AAGGCACAATCAAGCCCTTTATTTAGCTGCAGGTGATGGTGGTGACTGCTTCAGATCTTATAATAAAGGCAGACAGGTTTCAGTTCACCATTAAAGTGGCTGTGTACGTTTTCGATTGTGAAAGTTAGAGGAAGACAAAACCATGAGTTAAGAGCAAAGCTTTTTGGGTGAAAAGCTCTCAGGAATTACACAGATGAAGCTTTCCAGAATGCTTCTGTTGTGGTCTGGAAAACAAAAAATTGTCCTCAGACCAAAATTATACACAAAATTGTACCAGAAACGCATTCCATTTTTATAGATTTCTCTTCTGTAAAAACAAGAATGAAAGCCACAAACTTGCCTGGTAGGTCATATTGCATAGAATATAAATGCCAATTTTTTAACTCCTGGAGAGAATTCTTACACCTCCAGCTGCAGGACAGTCACTTCTTCAGAAATGGGGATGGACCTTGAGAACTAAACCTTCAAGACTTCAGGTGGAAATGAGACTTATTTGACCAATAGTAAATGTCTCCATCGGAGCTACTTAATTAAATAATTTCAAAGTCAATGGAAAAAAAAAAAAGGATGAGTGTGCTAAACTTGATGCATGTCACCAAAATAGGTGACTAACTCTAGGAGGAGGTAGGATGCCTGTAACCAGTCTCCAACTGGGTGAGAAGGATTGTTGCAAGTAGGTTGTATCAGCAGTAAATTGCTAGGTTGTACTGAAACACTGGAGCCTCTAAGATGCCTTCAGAGAGAGAAGGAGATGAACTGCCTGTTAGAGGTAACTCCATGGACTGCAGAAAGTTAGAGCAGTAGCTTAGACTAGATGTGTATTAAATGGATATAGATGGATGAAATAACCCGCTTAACCCCCAGCTGTTTTTAACAGGATACCCATTAACAGTAACACTGAGAATGGAGACACCAGTTACACTCTCCACATATGATCATGTGGTACTCAGGCTGAAACCTCAGCCTATTTTCTGATTGAATCATGAGAAGTCACAATATAGAGTAACCTATACACAGAAAAACACCCATATCATATGCAAGATGAATGGTATGGGCTCCCTCAGTTTGGCTGCCCGCTTGAAAACATCTAGAACAGAACTGGTATTTACAAAATACTGAATCGCTGTTGTCTGAACATCAGACTGGTATGAGACACGTCAGATTCCACATCCGTTAATTAAATCACTCAAAAGATGAATACTGATTCAACTAACAGCAATTTTGGATGAGAGTTGGTGTTTTCGAAGCAACGGAAAACTCAGAAAGTGTGTGCTTGGGAATTCTTCATTATTATCATGAGCCCTTAAGGACTTCCCAAGCAGATATCAAAAAATTTGAAACACAGCTATCTTCTAACATTTTTAACCAAAACTTTTAGGTAAGCAATTGATGAACCTTTATATAAGTAGTAATACTTAAAACCATTTATGCTATATTCATCAGTGTTACTTTACCAAAAAGAGATATCCTGCTTTGTGCACAACACTTTCAAATATGTTGGTGTCTCCTTGTTTTGCTTCAAGGGCAGCAATGAGCTGTTGTTTTGATGTTTCAGCCTGGAAAACAACAGAAAAGTCTTAATCTTTCATTTTTTGCTGCAAGGATTTTAGATTAACTCTGTCCCTAACCAGATGTAAATAGAATCTGTAAATAGAAATCATCTTGACTATGGAAAAAGTACTGGTATTTTTGTTTATAATGTCACGATTTAGAATAAATTTAATCCACACCAGCCAAAGTGTATTAAAATTCTTATAACTAAGCTATTTCACTTGATGTATTCTTTCTCAGTGCTCATTTGCTCTGTAACTGTATGTATGAAGTGGCTGAACTCCAATCATTTGTGACATTAGAGAAAACATGCTCTTTCATTCCTGAGGCAGAACACCCAAGTAACAAACAAAAAACCCACAATGTACCATTGTACAGGATGTTCTTTAATCATGCAGAGATATTGCAGCTATATTCATTGCTCTAAATTATGAGTTTTCTGAAGGACTTTTTTTCTAGATAAAGCCAAAAGAAAAAATAAGTTAAACTAATTTTAAGTATTAGCTGTAAGTACTTAAAAAATGAATTGTTTGTTCTTTTAGTCTTTTGTCTGACTAGCACCCAAAACATTTAATGAATTTTTAAAAAGACATTATTATTATGGATGATACCATGCTAATTAAGGGTATAGTATAGACATTAGAGAATAGTGTTCCTTATGAAGGACTCTTAATTGTATTTTTGCTATCCTACTATCAGTGGATACTGAAATAATGAACAGTTTAAATAAACTAGCTACTGTTTAGTTAGTTAATCTCTATAAAAATGTTACACTGTTTTCCATGGGATTTGTGTTTATATGAAGATGAGAACCCTGGCTAAAGAACTAGAGACTTAACCTTTAGTATTTTTTTTCTGCTATTTTAATTACTGCTTCTTATTGAATCCTTCAAGCTTTGTCATCAGTTGAACAGGGAATCCACGGGAATTTGACATGTGCATCAAAGATTTCTGAACTTTTGGTATTACTAATTGCTTTTTAGAATTTATCCTTATAGAGTTTTCTAGACCTCACAGGATAACATGCTGAGATATTTGGTTAACATTTGGTTAACATTTTGTTAACATTTTCTTTTTTTTTTCTTTGGAGGGTATCTCTGACTGCCTCTCTCATTCTATCTTAATGAACTTTTATGCTGGTTTATTAATTACTCATTTACAAATGGTGCCTAAAAATCTTTGTCGATCCCCAAAACTTTTACTGCACACACGGCCCCAGAAACCAGCTCACAGAAACTTTGACAAGCAATATTATAACAGTAATTAGTATACAAAAGCTAGATTGGTTAGCAATAATGATTTCCAGATGAGGATGGATTTTTTCACTAGTGCCATCTCCTCATGTCCTATAGTCACAGAGTAGAACAGAAATGCTCAGCATCTGTTACCAACTCCAACTATTTCCTATAATGCTGGAAAAGCTCATTTCCTTCTCCAGCTGTGGTGAGGGAAAGGGGATCTGAGGTTGCTTGAATCTCTTCATTGCTTTATGCATAATGAATTAAGGGATAGTTCCAAAAAAGTATTTAGATGATGCTAAAATGTCATAAGAGTCAAGTATTTAAGTAGTTAGTGGGGTTTTTTCCGCTCCAGAACTGGTCCCCAAATATTGTGGAGAGAAGTGGCAATATAAATTCCAGAGAATCATTCTCTAAAACAGCACCAAAGAGAAGGAATACACGGGTGCACCTCATGGCAAAATTACATAGTCTAAGCACACATGATGGATGATGAGATGAATGAGAGAAGAAATAATTCAGCCCCCAACAGCCCTGGGTAGGTGAATCAGATTTGAGTTTGCAAGACTGATGGACAGCAGATCATTCAACCCTTGACTGAAAAATGTACTTACTATTTTTCCTTCAAGCTGTTTACAAGATGCCATGAATTGTGCAGAGACCATTCCAGTTGCAGAGTGTTTGGATACACAAAGCTTGTTCCCTAGCACAGCACGTTCATAGTCCTGGATTACAACAGATGGATTTGGATAGATGAAGAAAGACAAAGATTGTAAAAATATTAATTAGCATGATAGGCAGTGGTCACAACATATCTGTGGACAAACATTTGACAAGTTGATGTTAGGGATTTTAAGGGTTATATTTGAATGTGGATGATGAATTATCTTTATGTGAGCCTCTCCTACAAGCACAGCAGACAAGACAGAAGAAAACTCAAAAGCATGTTTCTGGAGAATTTATAAACATTACTGGATTTTATAAACAAAATTCCTGTCTCTTACACACAGTGAGAAAACAAGAAAAGGATAAAAGTCTGTTTCTCTTAAAATAAACAAACAAACAAACAAATTTCATTTTCTGTTAATGCTGTGGTCTGGCCAACATAAAAAGAAGCATTTCAGTTCTGGATAGCTTAGACAGAATAGTCAAGAAAATTACTTTCATGGTGACAATTTCTTCCCTTTTCCCCCTTTTATCTTTACCCTACCTTTAGCCAGCGCTTTGTACATGATGCCAAGCTGAATTTTGTCTTTTGTTGAAGAGTTCTGATTCCATCCCTCTCCAAACTCACAAGACTACACCATCCATAAATACCACACTATTTAGAGTCAGCATGCTATCATTTTGCCACACCAAAATTTTCACAGATGTAACTAAACATTCTTTATGGCAGGAACTGCTGCATTTGTCTTTGCCTTAGCCATAGGACTGCAGAGCGAGCCCTTTCATTGATGTCTATGAATGTTCTCTGGTAGCATTGTGCATCCCCATCCTGCTACCTGGCCATGCCCAGTATTCACACAGCACCTTGCTGCATGTGTTATCAGGCCCTTTTAGGAAGGATGTGTCTATTGTGCCAAGGTCACATTCCCACAAAGCAGTTTCTTGTCATACACTCTAAGACAGGCTCTATGCAAAGGAACAGCCCACACTCAAGATTTACCTTGCAGCAGATCCCTGAGCTCGTTCAAACCCTGCCCCTGAGAATGGATTTGCATCTGAATTACTTGGGTGGGAAGCAAGTCAGGATTTGATCAGGCATGGATAAAGATTCCTACTTAAAATCCTCATTAACATATGTCTCTCCTTGATACAAGAGAGAGAACTATATGGAACTATTTTATAAAACGTGAAATGGCCCCAGTAAAAGAAATGGAGTATATGGTTGGCAAGACACTTTCCTGTGAAAGGGAGTTATAGAACTGTAAAAGATGTCACACAGCCTATTGGCTTTGAGTTGGAAACAGAAAAAAGGGTTCAGGAGAGTCAAAGTGAGAAGCAGTAGGAGGACGAGCGCTTCGAATTACATTCTAGGCCGTGTCCCACAGAAATCCCGGAGGACACTGTGGGTGTTCCAGAGAAGAAAGAAATGTCAAATCCACAGCTTGGCTTCAGAATGGAAGATGGAAGAGTGGCCTCCCACCTTTCCAGGCATGCTATGACAACTGGCACCACAGTATGTAAAAAGCAGATGTTCCTCAGTCTCACCTCTTTGAACAGGCCCGTGACTCCTCCATCCTAGGTCTAAATATCCTCCAAAGTCCCGGCAGTCATTCAGCGTCTTGAAGATATTAACGATGGCAGCAATTTCCCCTTCCCATTCTCCTGATTAAACAGAAGGAAGGAGGCCGAAAAAAGATGAGAGACGTAAAGCTCCAGATGTTGTCGACACCAATATCTGGTTCCACCAGAGAATTTGAACACTGAGGCGATGATGAATTACAGTGGGATCCCTACGGCAACCCAGATTGCAATCATAATACCACTGAGGAAGAATAAGGGCTAGCATTCATTACTGTGAACAGTAAATGAATTTATGACAATTTCTACTGGTCCTTTCAAAGAACATGAACACATCTGTAAGAAATTAAGATGACATGGCGCTGTAACTCATTCATTAATAAAGTCTGGTATTGCACATTTGTTGCAAAATTTGTCGCAACTGTTACCAGTGGTTTTTAATTCTCTAAGTGCATGTTATTAAAACCATAACACAAATCTCTCTGGTGGGAGAGTACTAACTAATTTGCAGACTATTCTTTAGGTGATTTATTTTTAGTCCAGTCTTACTTTGGGGAAGAAACTGAACCTCTTCAGGTTTAAAGCAAGTAGATATTTAATCATTAAAAATATGTACAACAGAGTTACAGCCACCCTTTTTGATAATACATCAATTAATTTTACACTATCAAAAACCTATTAAAGGACCTCTCTGTGATCTGAGTAACTGTGGAGGGAGAAATAATCATAAAAGCAAACCCTGAACAAAGAGCAAACCCAATAATAACATACCAGGCTGTGATGGAGTCAGAGCAGTCACAGCTGTATTCCTGTGAGTGTGGAGTCACAGTTTGCCCATTTTTAAGGACAGATTGTCAGGATACAACCTAGTCAATGATAAGAAGAATCAAAAATTAGCAAAATTTATGCATTTTACCCTGTGCAATAGGAAGAGTATCTATTGTTATAAAGCATAAGCTAATACTTTGCTACTCCACTTGGCAATAGTTCCCACTAAACTGTGTGTCTCAGCTTTGCACATGTATCACTATTAAACATACCTGATAAAAGTTTTGCTACTGCAACAAGCCCACACATCTCTGATTTTTCTTCTATATATTGAGGGGAAAGTTAAGAGGAAAAGAAGTTATAAATCCTTGGCTTACGCTCAACAAAACTCATCACAATAAACTCAGTGTTTTATAAGCTACAGGGGAAAATATGAGAAAATGCAATATTAATTTGAAAGAGCAATACTTCATATTGACTATAAATCAAACTAACAGTAAAGGTCATTCATAATTTAATGACAAAGTTGCAATTTTTTTAACATTATTGAAAAGATTTTTGTACATTACTGGAAGATATTCTATGAAAATTAAGAAAACAATCTGAATATTTCCCCGTGAACTTCTAGTGATAGCTACAAATATTTGTGTTAACATGCTATTTATTTGGTAATTTTCCTACTAGTTATGAAATATCATCTCAGCTCCTACGAGAGTGCTGGAAGGAAGGGTGAAAAACTAAACCAGGTCACTGACGGTTTGCTGTTTGAAGCAAGGATCCAGCTCTGACCAGGAGTGCTCTGTTCTTGAGCAATCCTCATTGCAGGTCTGGGCTGCTCTTCTACAGCAACGGCAAAGACAATAGCCATGAGTTCAATAACCTCTTCCTTACTGCAGGAATTGTACCAGAGGAATGTGTTTTCTTGTCCGTGTCATGAGTGGCATGATCTGCTCTACAGTTTGTAGACACTTGGACTCACTTGCACAGAGCTGCTCAGAAGATGAAATGCCACTCAGTTCTGTAGAATTCAGTGTCCTAAATGACCATCTGAAATCTGTCATTCTTTTATTCTCGTGAGTCTTCACAATTCTCATGCCCAAATCTTGTTTTGGAAGTTGTTGAAACCTACAGAATTGTCATCTATAATGGGATTTCCAGCTTCAAAAGAAAAAAACCAAACAAACCACAACTTCAGCATTCCTTTCTTGCTCATATATGTTCTTCACATGTTAGCTGTCAGGCTTGCAGTGTCCCACCAATCCTCTCTCCTACCAGTCCTCTGTCCTCTGCCATTTCAGGAATCAAATGGCATTGGCTTTCACAACGGTAACACCTTCAGTAAAGACACCACAAGCATCCAGAATGAAAAAAATAAGCTAACAGAATTTTGTTTTTAAACAAGTAGCTCCTCCAGACCACAGAGAAAGAACACTCTGGACTTTGGCAGCACTTAGATATATCTTATTAAGTCAGTAAAGTTTTATTTAGTGCTGATTGAAATTGTGAGTCTTTCTAAAATACCTCTGTAAATTGTGACTGCTTGGATGGACCTGTGTTAATCAATCATGAAACAGCATTCTGCCTTGACTTAAGAGTATGTAGATTCATCAACATTTCCAGTTGATAATAAGGAAGCTAAACCAGTGTAGTGGTTTTCTGTGGCTGGGTTTTGGTAGCGGGGGGGGCTACAGGGGTGACTTCTATTAGAAGCTGCCAGAAGCTTCCCCTGTCTGGTGGAGCCAATGCCAGCCAGCTCCAGGACGGGCTTCCTGCCACTGGCCAAGGCCGAGCCAATCAAGAGTGACAGTGATAACATATTTGAAAGTTATTGTGCAGTCAGAATTCCAGCCAGGGAAGAGCAGAGTGATAATATGGGAACAACAATGCAGACACCAGGGTCAGTGCAGAAGGAGGGGCTGGAGGTGCTCCAGGCACCGGAGCTGAGGCCCTGCAGCCCGTGGTGCAGACCAGGGTGGGGCAGCTGTGCCCCTGCAGCCCATGGGGGAACATCGGGGTGCAGAGACCCCCCTGCAGCCCATGGAGGAGCCCGTGCTGGAGCAGGTGGATGCCCAAAGGAGGCTGTGATCCTGTGGGAGGCCCAAGATGGAGCAGGGTCCTGCTGGAGACCTGCAGCCCATGGAGAGGGAAGCCCACACTGGAGCAGGTTTTTCCTGAGTGGGACTTGTGGCCCCTGTGGGGACCCACGCTAATACAGCTCATTCCTGAAGGACTGCACCCCACGGAGGAGTGACCCACGGGACAGCAGTTTCATGAAGAACTGTTGTCTGTGGGATGGACTCACTCTGGAGAGGTCCATCAAGGACTGTTTCCCATGGGAGGGACCCCACGGGAGCAGGGGAAGGACTCCAACTCCTCTCCCTGAGCAGCAGCAGAAACAACAACTGACCACAACCCCCATTCCCCGTCCCCCTGCACTGCTGGGGGGGAGGAGGGAGAACATGGAAGGAGGGGGGGGGGGAAGGTGTTTTATGGTGTTTTTCAGATTATTTCACTTTTCATTCTTTTGCTCTGATCCTGTTAGCAATAAGTTCAATTAATATCCCCACTTTGAGTCTGTTTTAACTGTGATGGTGATCACTGGGTGACTTCTCCCAGCTCTTATCTCAACTCATGAATCTTTCACTGGGTTTTTTCTCTCCTCTGTCCAGTTGCAGAAGGCAGTGAGAGAGTGGCTGTAATGAGTACCTGGCATCCAACCAGGTCCAACCCACTACAGCCAGCTATATCCCTTGCATCATGAGGTGCAGGCCCACATTACAGAACCTGCAGCCACAGTTTCCATGTTCTCAGCATGGCTGGGCCCAGCTCTTTGGTGGTAACTCAACTGCAGTGCCTGTGCTCCCCAAGGGAGAGGAGGTCACCTGCTCTGCCTTATTGCAAGGCTCAGTGTTGCCCCTAGGAGTCAAAAAGCCACAGATAAACTCACTGAGGACTGTGGGTAGAAACACTTCACTGCTTTGATAGGTGTAGAAAAGGAGCCTACAAAAAAGAGTGAGTTACCCTTAGCTCCATCTCAGCCAATAATTCCCACAAGCCAGCTATTCTCCTGTGCTGGGACTGCTCTTTTTCCTGGTAAAACAAGAATATATTTTTAAATATACTAAAGTGCTATTTTCAAAAATGAATTAAGCTGTGAAACACTATGACTCACCAAAGATGCAAGGGGAAAGAGGGAGAAATCCAGGGCACATGGCTCTGGTGGGTGGAAAGGGGTTTCTCCTGACTTCTGATGGATCAGGCTGAATTCAGACTGACAGCACACAGACTATCTGGCATCAGACCCCACATACATTCAGCTTTGCTTCCTTTCTCCCTAATTTTCATAAAATGGAAGGGCAGAAAATGAACCTGCCCCATCATTCAGGCAGTCAGTGGAGTTATGGTCTTCACTCAATGATCTCATTACCCATTCCAAGATAATATCCATAAGCA